CTATCCATTCAGCTATCTCCAAACATACATTATTACACGTTGAATATAAAGCAGTATTTTCAACAACAGACAAACTGGGCTGTATTTTTAATTCGCATAAATTTAACGCGGTATCTTCTGTGGTCATTAAAGATGTTAATAAAGTTATGCTATCTAACTTATCTGCCACATCGTTTAATAAATTTCGATTATTATTTATAACTTTGCTACTCACAGCCTTTTTCTTTTTTTGTTTTTTACTTACTATAATTGCTGGTCTATACAAATAGTATTGCATATTTTGCCACAATGAGTTCTTAAAATTGATGGCATGTTCTAACATTTGTGGTGGACCAGATAGTAATAAATATTGTAATTGTAATATCGCTTTTCGTAAATCGCCACTTTGCAATAATTCCTATAAATAAAAAAAGTTTTTATTGTTTATGTTTTGAAAAAAATAATATAAATACAATATACAAATATAAAATATTATGGCAATGAAATCGAGATACTTCGAGTTTACTTTTTAGAAACTTTCGTGATCCTGAAGCAGTATCAACAATTTGTTTACATTAATTTATGAATTTATAAATACTTACCATAATGTAATTAGAAGGAAGCCTGTAACCAGTTTCTGCTAACGAGATTAGTTCTAATAAAACAGAAACCTTGTTACCAACAACACTTTGAAAATAAATTCTACTCTGTTGAGGTGCTAATTTATTTAAGTGAAGACAAACGTCCTTACACGTCATAACAATTGGACATTTCGTATTTGATGCTAACTGATATATAGCAGAAATAAAGCCTTCATCTTCTTCGAATATAATATCAACATCTTCTATAAGAATGAGGGAATTTTTTGATATTTTCTTTGGTAAAATTTCATTCGAGGTTAAATTGCAAAAAGCAGATGTTCTTTCTTTATTTTTAATCTGGTATGATTTTGTCGCTTCCTCTAATTCTTTCAAAAGTTTCTTCCCGCTTCTTTTAGACGACGCGTTTAATTCCAATACCCTAAATAAAAGTTTTCTAAAATTATTATATTATATGTAAAATTATTTATTGGCTAAAAATTAATACTAACGTATAACCAAATTCTTCTGCTAGTGCATATACACTTGCAGTTTTACCACTTCCATGCGGTCCCAACAGTACAGCTACCTGATTATTTCCATTGGTCCTTGAATAACTAGTGTCAGACGAATAAAAATCGTTTTCACTATCATCGCTTTCATTTATAAATTTTATTTTCCATCTGACCAGCCATTCTCTTAACTTTATAACTGCATTTTCATTTCCAACTATTTCTTCAGTAGACTTTGGTCTGTATTTGTAAGTCCAACTAACGTTTTCAATTTTATTTTCATTACTTGTTCCTGTTTTTTCCAATTGTTTTCTAGTTCTAGTTTTCGTTTTTGGAGACATTGTTTTATTAGGTTGTCCTTTAACAATAAGCGAAATAACATTCCACATTTTTTTTACACCCGAACAATGTTTTTCAAGATCCATTAATACTTCTTTAACGTTTGGTTTTTTGATATTTTTTGATAGCTTTAATTCGGTCTCAGAAAAATCTACTATATGTTTATAATGCTTTCTATCTAAATCTGGAATATACAACTTGTGACATATTTTTGAGGGAAAATTAAAATTATTTGTTTTGTTGCACATTGAATTAGTTAATTGTGTAATATGACTAATAAGTGGAAATGGTAATGTGCTACAAACATGTATTTGTTGATTTATAGTTTTATCGTTATTATCTTTTATATCTGTTTGCAGAACCGACTGTTTTGTTGGTATCACTTTTGAATGTAGTTTTCGCTGTTTTGTAAATATAGGAGCTAGTTTGCCAATTGCTTTCTTTTCATTAATAATTTCATCAATTATATAGAAATCCTCATTGGACTTATTTTCTATGTTACCTATTAAATCAATATTAAAATTTTTATTTTGTGCTAAAATTGATTTCTGTTTATCAAGCTTCGTTATTTCATTGGCATTTTCAAATTTGCCCTTTCGACATTTATTATTTTGTATCGGAACATTATACTCTAAATTTTTTGGTTGCACACACTTTCGTAATTTTAATTTTATAGATTCACTCATTTTGTTACTTTTATTTTTCATCCATAAATTTTCTGAATATGTACCTTTATTTGTTCCACATTTCTTAGAATCTTCTATATTTAATTTAGCTTTACTCTTGGGTGAAAATTCTTCATCGTTGCTATTACCTATACAAAGTAGGAAACAAATATGTAGGTGTACATATTAATTTATTTAATTGTAGTATGAAAAATTAACAAATCAGTGATCAAAGTGCACAAATTCATTGCCTTCTACCAAACATCAATATCTGGGAGACTCAATCACTCTTTTTCATCATGTATACAATTTCTTATGCAATGTATTAAAAGTATTATTTTTAACTTACCTAATAAAGTATTTTCATCCTCATATGTTTGAAATTTAATTCGTAATGACCATCTGTGTTTATTTTGTAGTTGATCTTTTCGTTCTTTTTCATTATTTGAAATATTACTGCTTTCAGATTCTATAACATCAATGTCATCCATCTGAGAGAACTGTAAATCTTTGGATTTACCTTTTTTTTTTGGTCGTATCGCATTATTCGAAACTGAAGTATATAAATCATGGTCAGTAGTGTTTTGTGACATATGTACGTCAGCTTTCACTATAATAGTGGATATATCTGCCATATCTGTATGCGTTAAATTTACTGGAGTTTTACTATTAAATACAAAACATAATTTTTAATCAGTACTGTTGTATATTTTGACAAAGAAATTATTTATTTATTACCTGAAATAATCTAATAAATTGCCTGATGGCTGTTTCTGATACAGAACTCCAGTATCCTCAAAATCATCTTTTTTTAAAAGTTTGGTAGGATTCTGAATAATATTCTCCACTTTTTCACCTTCTACCTCTGAAATTTTTCTTTTAAAACATTTTTTTTCCTCATTTATTAACTTTTCTGTTGACGAAATTAATTGTTCTTCAGATTTTTCAACATGTGACTCATTTTCATTAAAAAGTTTTGTTGGCATAATGTACTGAATTGAATTATTACGGTTCATAAGAATTTCAAAAGCATTTGATTCTTCGTGGTTACTTTTACTTCCATCACTGGAATGTATATTTAACAAATTCATAATATTGGTACCTTTTTTATTTTTTGTATCATTTAATTGTATATTACTGCTACTGTTTTCTCTACTTCTTGACTTTTTTACACACTGTTTCTTATCATTTGAAATATTCAATGAACTGCTCCTAGTTTGCCTTTTACTATTAATGTTGAGAACATCGTTGGTTTTTAGAGATAAATAGTCTAAATGTTGGTTTTGTAGCTTTTTACATTTTGTTGATGATGATAATTTTGTAGAAAAAGACTGCTTGGATGTTTGGATACTGATCTCCTTAAATGAATTAATATCACTGTTGCTTTCTATCGTATCGCATATATTTTTTTCTGAATTAGTGTTAGATATCTCAACTACAGAACAATTATACTTTTCTTTAAAATGTTTCCTTGATTCAGTTTCTTTTTTTTTGGCAGTGTTAGACTGTAGTGGTATATTATCACTGGCTTTCACCGTGTCCATAAAATATCGCGTTATATTTTTCATTCTTCATAACCATGTACAAAAAACTGAAAATTAGAAAAAAGATGCAAAAGTTATTAACACAGAGACTATTGCCATGTACATACATATGTTATATGTACGTGGTTGTACGTAACGCAATCTTAATATTTTGCCGCCATTTATTCTGGATTTTTGTTGGCAGCATTGAAGTGTTTTGTTTTACTACTGTTGCGTGTGGATTTCGTGAGTTAGAGAATTTTGGGATCTTAGAACGTGGGCACAGCACAGCCGACTCTAGTACTAGCCATGCTGAACAACGTGGCAACACCGCTCACGTGACAATCGGGAGTCCTATTTTCAAAAACAGAGTCCTGTGCTCGGAATTGTAATTAACGTCCTTTTTAATTAAAAGCTGTAGTAATATACACTATTTTGTGTTAATTATGTATAAACAATATATAAACGTTGCAACTATGGCAAATAGAAGTGATGTGGTAGTATAAAATTGTTATAAATGTGATATATATTTTGTGTACTCTCACAGTAGTTTGGTGTTGTGAAGCATGATATTTGAAATATTTACAGTGGTTTCAAGAAAATTTAGGTATGAAGCAAAATGAAACCATCTTTGGATCAAATTGAAACATTTAAGAATTGATAAACGTGTATATAAGTTAATAAAAACCTTGAAACAAGCGAAATGATTGGATCGAAACCAAAGAGGTTATGTGAAGTCCAGAGAGTGTCGGGAGTCTGACGACGTTGATTGGCTGAGAGTGTGGGAGTCCGGGAGGCAGATAGAGTAGGGTAGGTGTTGATATATTCAGACCGGACTCTCGCGGTGTTGCCATTTTTACTTCAGCACGGCTAGTACTAGAGACGGCTGTGCCGATGTCTTAAAGCTTACGAGTTGCAAATGTGAATACCGGCCAAGGAGAAGGTGCCCCTACCACCTCATGTGAACGAGGCATAATGGCTGCGCGCTCGCGCGTGACCCCTCATTCACATGAGGTGGTAGGGGCACCTTCCCCTTCAGTGCTTTTTCACTAGATGAACGAACACTATGATTGATATTGAACATACCTGACCTTCAAAAAATTTGACAGCAGGCACTTTACCGAACAATTAAGCATAGTAGGACAAATAAAGTAAAGAATGGAGTTTATTCTTTTTTGTTATCATTTCATTCAAAAATAAAATAGTCGACGAAAAAAACAATACAAAAAGAAGTGTTATCAACACATAAACAGACTTGGTGTTAAGTGCAGTATGGTGATTTACAAAAAAAGATTTGTTAAAGAAGTTTATCCGTCCACGGATCCTGAATAAGAAAAACGTAAAAGAGACGATCAGTGCTTATAGGCTTACGTACAGTATGTTCAGGATTGGCAATATAATATTATGGCTACAGGTGAAGCCAATACAACAAAGTCCCGACAAGAAAAACAGTACGATTACCTTTTAAAATTTTTACTAGTGGGTGATAGTGACGTTGGAAAACAAGAAATCTTGAGTGGACTCGAAGATGGTGCTGCTGAATCTCCGTTTTGTAGCGGCAGTGGTACTTTTTTCAAATCATTCTTTATCCTTATTCAATTTTAGTCAAACCTTTTTATTTTTTAATGTTATACTTACTTTATATATCGTTTTTACAAATTAAATTTTTTAAATTTGTGGGATAAACTCTTTTAATTATGATATTTTATGAGAAATTGATTTTCACTTCTGGTTACATTGTTTCATAAAAATAATTAAATTTATTGCTTTATATATTATAGCATACAAAACTACTACTATCTTATTGGATGGCAAAAGAGTAAAATTACAATTATGGGACACATCGGGTCAAGGTAGATTTTGTACAATAATTAGATCCTATTCTCGTGGAGCTCAAGGTATATTTTTAGTGTACGATATTACCAATAAATGGTCCTTTGATGGCATTGACAGATGGTTAAAAGAAGTCGAAGAGGTATTTAAAAATTTTTAACCATAATTATATATTGAAATAAAATATTAAACATAATTTAGTCAATTGTAAAAGTTCACTATGTAATAAAATAATAAACTAATTTTATGTGAAATAAATTATTTTTCTAAATATTGTAGCATGCTCCTGGAGTGCCAAAAGTACTTGTTGGCAATCGCCTTCATTTGGCTTTTAAGAGACAAGTAGGAGAACGTGATGCTGAATCATATGCAGCTAAAAATCATATGGCTTTTTTTGAAGTTTCGCCTCTTTGTGATTTTAATATTCGTGAAAGTTTTTCTGAACTTTCTCGAATGGCTCTACATCGTAATGGCATGGAAAGATTGTGGAGATCTAATAAAGGTATATTCATTATCTTAATACAAAGGATGGGCAAACTTATCTTGTTAAAAAAACTACATAAAATCATCTTATCTTTCAGTTCTTAGTCTTCAGGAACTTGCTTGCCGTGCAATAGTAGCAAGAACAACAGTTTATGGTATTGATCAACTTCCATTACCCAAATCCATTAAATCTCACTTAAAATCGTATGCGATGACAACTACATCTCAGTTACGTTATAATGGAAATAGATCATTAAACCCTAGTAAAAGTCTAGGCTCTTATCATCGAAAATTACGTTTCGTTGGTGTAGGTCACAATGGACTATCAACGCCAGGTAGTTTGCCTGGTAGTATAACAGATTCACGTACCAGTTGCGTTGGTAGGAATTCTTGCACAATATCTTGAGAATAACTCTACGGTTATAGTTATAAATATACAACACAGTGTTAACATTCTTTTTCTTTTTGTTTTATTAACATATACTGTCAGATTATTTTATTTAAATAACATTATCTTTTTGAATAATTCAAACTTTTTTCATAAATATCATAGCCATAATATAAAGTATTAATGATATAATAAACGAAAAAAAGTGGTATATTTACAATTATTAATTTTGAACAATTATGATTGCATTTATGTTTAATGTAAAAAAAACCTGATGATCATTACAATAATAGGGTTAAGAAGGATTTACTTTGTGTAATAATTTGGTACTACCAAAGAATTGTTTTATTAATATTTTAAATCACTTAATACTTTCAAAATTTTTTATTGAAAAAGATTTATGAATATTATTAGATAAACAGTATGTCAATATAGTTATACAATGATTAACACAAAATATTATTTTGGTTGATAACCGAAAATTGTTTCATAGATTTCAAAGCACAGTATTTCTTGAAATAAATGTATATTAAAATGTAACGTTAAAATGGAAAGTACAATTTTACTAAGTCTGTAAAGATTACGGTATAGACTAGAGGTACTGTAAGTTATAGATCTTAATGATCAAATATTAAATAAACTTACAAATGTATTTAAATTTCCTAAAAAATTTAACTATAATTCTGATTTTACATAATAACATACAAAAAGAAAACTAATCTGTTAGTTAAAAAGATGGATCTTAGTGTCTATCGAAAGGAATTCAAAATTCATGTTAAATGTTTAGTTTTTCTGTTTTCACGAAAAATATATTGCATAAAAATAAATTAATTTTTATAATAATAAAGATTGTATCTAAAATAATTTAACATAATTACATATTGTTTTATTTGTATAGTATAAGTTTATGTATTATTAGGAGTAATATTATACTATGTATCGTGTAAATATAAAAAGATACATCTATGACTACACTCATATTTTGATCAATTTCAATGCAACAGGATTAATAAAATCTTTTAGTATAATATTTCAAACTTAATTATATTATACTCTTTTACAATGTTTATTAACAAAATTTATGTTAAACAGAATAATTATTATTAAATTGAAAAAATCTATTATTATAAAAAATTGATGAAATAATGTATATGAGCTTTCCACAATCATTTATTGTCAGTGAAACATACAAAATATAGGAAAGTGTAAATGAATAGAGAGCACGAAACGAAACAAAATGTAAGACCAAGTCCAAACTCTAGGCCAATAGGCTGAATTTAATATACATACATACATACAAAATATATTTATATTATATATATACGTAAAAACCAGCCACATGTGTATACAAGACGATTCTAAAGAATATACTAACAAATTCAAAACAAAGACTGCATAATATTTACAAAATAATTTTAGCATTATTTTAAAATGATTTCATAAACATACAATTGAAATTTCGTTATTCATTAACAAACAGAAACATAGAATCCAAAAGAGAATATTGGTTTCATTATTACCTATATCTAGTTATCAGATATTAGGATTAAGAAAAGGGGCCACCTGAATAAGTTAAAAAGTGCTTTTTTTTACATTGATTTAAAAAGAAAATTATTTATTCTTAGTCTTGATAATTTAGTTGAAATAATAATGTAAATGAATAAAATTATTTCTACAAAGCGAAACAAGTTCTTTTTAAAAGTATGAATTCAAGTAATGAAGGTTTTTTTCTATTAAAATGTACTATAGTTTAATATTCCACTTAAATGTTTCTAAAATTACATTAGATTTATTAATGTATAAAGAAAAAATATACTCTATTATAATAGTTGGATACAAGTGTGATAATTAAAAAATATAATAATTAAATTCTTAAATTTTATCTACTTTAGAATTAGATACTATATTTTATGATATTTATTGTTTTCATGTATGTGTAGTATGATACAATTATGAAACTGATCTATTTTATAGATATTTCAAATACTTATCGTTCTTAAACTTAAATAACATATTTTAATGTAAAGTTTGAATAGTGTATTAAATGATATTCTAATTTAAAGTTTATGTTTAACCATTACATGTATTTTATTTAATTTTAAGTACGTATGTTTATACAATGAAAATAAAAATTGTTTATTCTTTGCCATTTTAAAATTAATTTTGATTATAAAATAATAAATTTGTATCTTTTAATAGAATTCATTTTTGAAACTTTCAACTGTTCAACAGAAGACTAATGTAATCTAAATTTGTTTGAAATACGTATGTACTTTTATATTATTTTACATAATTTTCTAATTTTTATCAAAAAACTTGTAGACAAATAATTATTGTTTATTTGAAACAAAAATTAGAAATGGCTACTAAAAATGAAGAATTTACAAAAAGTTCTTTCGCTTCATTCTGTACAAGTAACATTTATATTCCGCAACAGTTAATAGAAGCAAATGAATTATTAAAGTCAGTTAGTAGAAGATTAGAAGATTGCGCTTTGGAATGGCAAGCAAAAATTTCTCATAAACAGTGGAAAATCTTCAACTCTAAAGCAATCGAAGGCAATTTATCTGAACATTCCTTATTAGCAAGAACATATTTTAGTGAAAAACATCTCGATGAAATATTTCAATATTTACTTACTTATAATAAAATATTCTCAGAATATTTAAAAACTTTTATTGGCAAGTAAACTTACTCTAAATAATGACAAACACGTATTAATTTAAACTGAACTATTTTCGTAATTTATTACTTAGATCTCTTACAAGGTGAATTATCCAATCTAACTTCTGACAATATGTACAATATACAAACTCAATGTAATGCACAACAATGCAAAATGTTAAGCGGCGTTAATATAGAAACCAGTGCATCTATCTACATTGAAAAATAAATATCTAAATGAAACGAGGAAAGTTCCAAATTATATTAATGATATATTGACAGTTCAAAATTCATTTACTGATGTAGTTTCAGCAAAAGATAATTTTGATAGAAAATTTTTAGGATTCGAAGCTATATTGCATAAAATCACATCTGCCCCAACTGATGCATCATCATTATTGGTCTAATATAACGGTAAATGAAGTTTTATTAATATTCTTACAATGCAGTTAAATGATAAATATAATTGTGTACCTTAGAGAAGTACATCTACTAAAAACAATTTGGAAACGCCACTATCAACTAAAGAAATCGAACAGTTAGAAAAGTTAAATATTTAACTAGATCTAGCAAATTATTTAAAAAACGAGATCCGAAGAAATCAACTCTATTAATTGATAACATGGATGATCGATTATTATTTAATACCCAAACACAAGACTTTATTAATTAAATTTAATATTCTCTGGCAGTTATTAATTGTTTCTAATAATAATATAAGTTTCTTAAACGAATAATTTATATAATTTTACAAAAAATTTTTATTATTTTCATTACATTTAATACAAGTGCTAAAATCTTTCATAGTAAATCATCGTTTAATAAAGCTTAAAACCATTTTCTTTTGCTTTTCAGATAATTTTATGAAATTTTAGTTAAGTAATGTTGAAAAATTGACATAGTCTCATAATACATTACACATTGTTATACTGAGAAATACTAAATAATTGTTTTTACAAGGACATTGTATTTAATAAGCAATGTACAATACAACAAGAGTTTACATATTTTTTTCCTACACTTATCTCAATTTATTATTAATTAATTTTTGCCTTATAATAACTACTATACACACAAACACAAAATAAATATGTATTATGACAATTATAATTAATACTATGTAAATGTTTTATTAACTATTTATACAAATTCCTTAAGTTTTATTTTTTAATCAGTATTAAATATTTCTATTAGTTCACTTATTTAAATGTTAAATCAAAAAAAAATTATATACTTTCAAATACATATTGCATACAAATTTTTACTTGAACAAAATGTTCCTTTAATTGTAGCTATTTATAAATAAATATTAATAATATGAATCTAATTTACATAAACAGTGAAGTAGTAATGTATCAAAAAATTTATATTTTTGTACATAAAAGAATGTAATTATTTTGATCGATGCAATAGAAAACTTTCGAAGTTTTTTAAACACAACTTACTCGCATACTTTTTTGAAATAAATATGTATTTCCATTGGACATAACGGATTAATATAAACTCTAATAGAGAAATTTTATCTTGATAACATCAAAATGTTGGTTTTCATTTTTTTTAAAATAATTTTTATATTTTTAGAAAGAGATTCATACGAGTTTTTGTTACCTAATAACTTATCAAATAAATATATTAAACGTTATAATGAATTATCATAACTTTCTATTTCTATAACACATTATATACTTCATTGATATTATAGTATGATTTCTATAAATTCTATAAATAGCCAACTTGTATCAAACTCCTTATATTAATAAATCTTTACTCATTGTCAGTTCATTATAATTTTGTCATTTAAAGGTAATATTATAAAATAAAGTTTCTTAAAATACTTGTGTAAAACAGAGACCAGACAAATCGATGAACAAAAAAATCTATTTTATGCAGCATTCGGTTTAAGCAGACTGATTGATTAATCAGCATTCAACATTTATTAGAATTAGTATCACGTTGATACAAGAGAGAAATATCTTAAGATAATGTTAAAGTTATCTTAATGTTCCAGTTTGATTCCATTCACTACATCCACATTAATTCCAGATCTCATAAACATCTGTATACTGTTTAAGAAATAAATTTCACGATATTTAAATTTGTACATTATACTCTATAACATGCAATTCTAATACAACTAATGCATTTTTAGTTTTTATTATATTACTACCTTCTTTTTAATATATAATTTAATTAAATAAGATTTTTATGATTCGATAACATTAAACAAGAGAAGAAATACCCTTGGTGAACTACAGGGTACATTTAACACTAATAAATGATATTACAATCTTATAGTATGTAAAAATATCAAATAATTAACAACATTAGTTTTAATAGACAAAAATCATCGATTAATTTATTTCAATAAAACATCTTACACTGAAAATCATTAAGAACTAATTTATAATCAAGCGTATCAATGACTGCAATTCTTGTCAACTGTCTAATACGACTTCCTTTGTATAACGTGTCTAATGTTCATAAAAAGTATATAATATTCAATATACATTGCATATTAAAAAAAAATTAACTAAAAATAGTCTTCGTACCAAATAATTTCCTTTGAAAACAATTAGAAAAATTGTTATCCGTATCAATCGATTTAAATTAGTTCAAGGATTATGATTTTTATGAGATCTGTATGCTAGGATAGGCAAAATATGGGTTTGAAATTGAATAAATCATCGATTTCACCTAAATTCATAGATTTGTATGCTATGTTCTGGAACGTGTTTTAAATTCAAAGATTGATACCTAGAATAATAAAGATATTGCATGAAGTTTGATATAATTAAAAAAAAAATAAATAAAATATTATATTTCAGTATATGATTTCTCAATTTAATAATATGACTTCTTCCTTATGATACAAATTATTATCTATAATTGAAATATTTAAATTTACGAAATAGGTATTCGAGAATTGTAAACACATACAGTATTGAGCAAAGTAAGTTTGTCTAAGGCAAATGGGGCTATAAGGGGTGCACGAATTCTTAAAATCTTAATTTTAAAGATATTAAGAATTTAATTAAAAACAAAAATAATATAATTCTTGATTATTTAATATTATAAAATTTAATATGTAACTAAGGAAATATAAAATAAAGAATATTGAAATAAATATCAAATTAAATTTTCCCGCGTAAACGTCTGCACGTAAATGATAGGGTCACATATCTTCTATACATATAAGCTATTTCCTTCTAGAGCGTCATTTTTCTTGGGAAAGAAGGCTCTGCTACTGCTGTGTAAACGTTAATTCGATAAAAATTTTATTCAATATGTAGTTTACAATTATTAATTTTTGAAACTTTGTATTCTGAGATTGAGAAATTTGACTTCTAGAACTTCTAAATTTGAATTTAAAAAATTTTGAAACAGTGTAATCTGAGGTTTAAGATTTTGAATTTCTGAATTTTGGGATCTTTGAATCTTGAAATTTGAATTTTAAAGTTCTGTAATGTTTAAATCTTAAAAATTTAATTTATTTGTAATTCTTGATAATTCCCGAATATTATAGTGAATAATAGAGCCTCCTTCCCCACATCATTTTTTTAGGGAAACCTACCATGCTCAATATTGTACATTGTAACAAAAAACTAATTCTATTTTTATCATACAAAACATATTTCATGGAAAGATTATGTAATATTCTTTTGCAATAAAATGAATAAACGTGCATAAAATATAGAAAGAACATTACCATTCAGAACTACGATGATAATAAAAACCCTCGATCGTGGCAGCAGATTTTTGAAAACAAATATAATAAAATCCTGCGAACGAAGCACCATTGATGTCTTTAATAGTATGATCAGGAACCAAAAAATGTTCCTTCCACCTCATAAAAACAAAATCAGTTCCCTTCAGAGCTTCGTAATCAAATGTATCTGAATTAAATGTTTTCGCATATTGACAAAATGACTCGAATTTACTCTGCAATTATAAAAGTACGACAAATGATATAAACATTAACAAAAAATAAAATATATATTATGGTACAAACCCAATGTTTCTTATCAACATCTTCATCTGCATCCCATTTACGTGTTAGAAATGGATATTTCTTAGATATAATTTCACCATCAAAAAATGTGGTCAGCGTGGGAAACTCTTCCGTAAGGCCCTTAATTTTTAAATATCCACATAAATAACTATTTTCTTCGTCCACGTGCTACAATAAAAACAATATACATAAAAAATTTGTCAGCTATAATTTTACTTAAATTAATAACCGTTACTTAAACTTTTATTAAAAACATTCTATTTTTTTATTTCCTTAATGAAATCGTTATGAAAATATCTATAAGCTACAGAAGATGAAGAGAAATTGTAAAATCTTTTAATAGGTTATTTAACATTTTTAATTATTTAACCAAGCAAACATAATCAATTCATGATAATTCGACCATTTATAAATATTGAAAGCAGAAAAGCATATGAACCGTAATATAATCAACCGTTATGGGTATTAAACAGATGTCAATGGTGTAATAGAAAATTAAAACATTTGTGACGCAATTTCCAGAGAAATGAAGAACTAACCTGCAAAACTACTTCTACGTCGTAACTGTTACCCTTAGACTTCTGAGAACCTTGAAACCGTGAACCATTGTAAAGTAAAGATTTTGTGACACCCGGCTGCTTTGAATTTGCGGGTGGTGGTGGTACTACGTCAACTTTCACCGGCATTCTCGGCTCAAGTGAACGCTTTGAAAATTTGCCCTCCTCAAATATCAATCTTCACATCCCAAGACTCTCGCAAAGACTGGCAAAGACTGCTGGTAATTTTCAGGACATACGTATATTCATACGTAGCCTCGAATCCAGACACGTTCGTACACATTATTTTTATTTAGAGAATATGTCAGAAGTATTTTGAAAAAAATTTATTTTTTATATAAATAAATTACTTGGATTATTTTTCTTAATATGAAAATAATTTGCTATTATTAAAATAAAAAATAACATGTTTATTTGTTTTATTGACTTATATCTATTGTTATGCATGTGTGTATGTATGTATGCATGTATGTACAGATCTAGTTGCATTTTGCCGGATATACAGTTTTGTACGATTCACCGATAATTTAAATATTCGTTTTCTTTAATTTCATCAAATCTTATATTTTTTTTACTGATTTTCTTAATATTATTGTATCATTAATTTATAAGTATAACGTATAAAACATTGTTTTTATTTTGAATTTAAAATATTGTTTAATTTTTGCAATTTTATAATTATTTGTATCTGTTTTCCCGCCAAAAATGTTATAGTTTTTATACTGACATTATATGTTGAACAGTAAGGAGATATGAAAATAATTGAAATACAATATTTATCAGTTATTTGAGAAAGTATTTTAATTCAATTAATATGTCGGAATGGAACGTTATCGAGATATTGATTTGACCTGTTCTAAACTGCTGTGAACTAAAAGTTGGTTGTATGCATGTTGTATCCAAGCAAGTATGGCGGATTTTAGTGATATGAACTCACACAAAATGACAGAAAATCACGTACAAAGTCGGTGTAATAATCAGTGGGTTCGACTAAATGTTGGTGGTACATATTTCTTAACAGCAAAAACTACTCTAGCTAGAGATCCTAATTCATTTCTCTATCGATTGTGTCAAGAAGATTCGGAACTTATCTCAGACAGGGTTAGTTGCTTTTTAAATAAGCGCGAACTTTAAATTATTGCTAAACATTATTAAATTCGTTCTTGTGCGTAATATAATACTCATACTTTTCTTTAAATAAACAAAAAATAAATATTTATGTAAATGTTTTTGCGAATACTTTCACAATATTTTGTAATTAAAATAGACACAAATTTTAAAGATGTCATTAATTATTAATGATTATACAAAAATTGTATTTACTATGTAACAAATGATGAACTGTATATATATACATAGGTATGTGTTTAGTACGTATGTATGCCGAGTAAGTGTGGATTACGCATACGTGTTATATATATTACGTATATACACACGCGCGCATGAACACTATTAATATATGTTTGCATAGTAAATAGCTTACATACAAACTGTTTATAAAATTTAATGTGAAAACTTAAATCATTTATAAGAAAAAACATGTAATAAATAATCTTCTCTATATTTGATTATGTAGGATGAAACTGGAGCATATTTAATAGATCGTGATCCAACATATTTTAGCCCTATTTTAAATTATCTACGTCATGGAAAATTAGTAATTAACAAAGATTTAATAGAAGAAGGTGTTTTAGAAGAAGCAGAATTTTATAATATTACAGAATTAATACGGCTAGTCAAAGAAAGAATTATATTAAGGGATACCAGACCATTACGAGATTCAAAAACACATGTATATAGAGTTCTTCAATGTCACGAAGATGAATTAACTCAAATGGTATCAACAATGTCAGATGGATGGAAATTTGAACAGGTATTTATTTTTTTACTTTAAACAGTTAGAATATTTATATATTATTTTCTATGATGAAAACATATATTAACATTTTATTAAAATTTTTAAAAGGGTTAACGATATTTAGTTAGTAATACTGATTTAGAAAATTTGAATATACTTTATTGTTTTAGTTAATCAACATAGGATCTCAGTATAATTATGGAAACGATGATCATGCTGAATTTTTGTGTGTGGTTAGTCGAGAATATGGGGCCAGTCAACTTGGTAGCAAGGAACAAGAATCAACGGATCGTGTTAAGGTACCATTATCGTATTCAAGTTTTTCATGTCATTCCTTCAACCAAAGTAATCACACATAATTTTTTTATATTCATATAGTTTTGATTTGATTATATTTTTTATTACCCTATGGTTTCTTAATATAAAAGAATATTATTAATATTAATAGATAAGTGTTATATTTTTATTATTAAAAGTTCTAATTAACCAAACATGGCTATATTCATGATAAACTATCAGAATCACAATATCAATAAATTAGGAATTTATAAAATTTTACGAAGTAAAAGAATTTCTGTATCAGTATTATATTTATTTTTATAAAGATTATTAATCCATTTGTAATAAGAAATGAAATGTTACGTAAAAACTTTTCTAATAATGAATATTACAAATAAAAACAAGATATTATACAATAACAGTTTAGTGTAATAATAATATACATGATGTGCCAGTTATATAAAATTATAATAAGTGTATATTTTGAAATTTTATACAACTGATCTTATTACAAATAGATGGACTAAATAAAAATGAGAAACTAAATATCATTGTAAAGATATGTAAATTTTTAAATCTTAGTTAAGTTATACTTTCTATATATTTTTTTATATAGTATTGTTTATTTTCTTTAATATCAAACAATATAAAAATACCTTGTAATAGACACTAAATGCAAAATATTGCAGTTTATTTTCAAGAATTTTCATTTAAAAATTAAAATTGTTATTTGCAGTTTATATAAACTGAACTAAAGTATAGTGTTGCTGGTAATTGATTTTGTTGTAACGATCATATTACTTGAGTATTATTTAGTATGTATTAATACAGGGGCCAATTTTTATTAGCATGTTCTGCCTCTGATATTTGTTGTACGTACAATATCATTATTTTTGTATCGCATGCTATGCATCAAATAAAGATTTTTCTCTTTTATTGGCTTGATTACTTTGTACCCTATATCCTGCATGATTCATCATTGCATGACTGCATTATTTTTTGTCATCATTACAACAACGTTAAACCTAATTGTTCGATTACAATCTTTTGACAATTTCAAAGGTATAAAATGTTAAATGGTTTATAAAACTAACAATCATATCTGAGAAACTAAATTATTTGGATAAAATCTGTAAGATTCAACCTATACAACAAAATGCAGAGGCTGAACAATGCTAAATAATTATTCATACATGTTATAAAAAGAATTCAAACAAGTTAATCGTACTTCTTGTTTCATTTATAAAATACAAAACTATAATTCCTAATATAATCTTAATGAATTTCAACCACTGAATTATATTTTAGGTTCTGCAGCAGAAGGGTTCTCGTATGTAATCTTTAAATCCGTCCTTTCCTTTTCTTGCTTCGTTTCATTAAATCAACTGTGCAGCGACAAGATGAAGACTGTTTTTATTTTTACACTTAAAGATTTAAGTTTATACAAATCTTCATTGCTCCATTCTTTCTTACATGGTGGTAATTGCAGAAAGAACAAAAAAATGCAAATATATCTTCTATAGTTACGTAGCTACATTACGTAACAACAATATGAAGCTTTAATAACTGAAAGTATCACGTATAGGCGTGTGAATTTGTTTTTTTTTTTTTTTCTTTTAATTGTTCATTAAGAAGATAATACATATTGTAGTAAATATAGTGATTTCATATGAGGTCGTATATTTTATAAATAATAATGAAAATTGTACTGAAATAAAACTTTCTATCGACGCTTTTCTTTCGAGAAAGGTATATTAAAAAATAAAAGTATTAATATATGTACAAACATCAACATTGATATGCTATGAAACAAAATTGTTATTTAGCTGTAGAAATTATATTTTAATTTTGCTAAACGGTTTAAAAGACAATAGCATTCGTAAAGACAATTTTTTTCATACAAATTTCTACAATGAATATTAATACTCCCTAGCATTAAATAGATTATCTTTTTGTAACAAAAACAATTGTATAAAAGTATGTTTTTTCTAATCGTGTCTTCATCATAACATTACTTAAATTACATACCTTCGCACTGCCGTTATAAAACACAAAATGGTATTTGAGCATGATATTTTTCGTTATCTGATGAAGATTATAATCACAAGTATGTTAAATTGATTTTAACAAATGAGATAGTGTGCATAAAGAAATATAATTGTTAACAAAAACAATTAATTATATTATTTGAATATGACGAAGTAATCGCATTAAAAGATACAGTCACATATTTTCAATTACTTAAATGTAATTTCCTAAATATATGTAACTTTTATTATACCAATATTTGATTCAAACACGATGCGAATATCACAATAGATTTTTTCGTTTACTTTTTTTATGATATACGCACCATCTTTGTTTTTATAAGTATTAAAACTTATAATAAAATTGTTATTCTACTTACAGAAATAATACAATTTTCAAACAAATATTAATAATATAGGTTGTCAATTGCTGAAGGCCTATTAAACAAATGTCGTAGACAATATACTCATTTTAAAAGCATTATTCGCGAGTAAGAAGATACATGTAACATTAAAATATTATAAGTACTATTAGAATTATACTATGTATAATATATTGTATATTATATACAAAGCGTTCAAAGTGAAGCATTCATTTTTTAAAGCATTTGGGATAACTTCATAAAACATCATTTTGCATAGAAATTTATCTGTTTTAAACAGGTAATGAACTATATTGGAAATATTCGGTTTTTTAAATAGTACAGTACATAATTGAAGAATGTTGTAGAATATGTCAAAATAAATTTAACGTATAAACTAATACATCATTTTCATTTATGTTTAATATCAAATTCTTAATATAATATTACATAAAATAGAGACCTTACCTGTTTCACATTTTATTTCTCTATGTTTCAATATTCTCTTGCATAACATTATTATAAGGGCAAATATTTTAGCAACACTGGTCTAGAAGTAGCAACAAAAATAGTAAACGACTATTATATTTTCAATACATTATAATCATTAGCGTAACTAGAGGTCAGAGTCTGGTTTTCTCATAACAGAAATTATTGAAATAAGTAAAAAGAAACATTTGTTAGTTTGTAAAAATTGTATGCATTGTGCAATGTAATTCAATACAAAACATACAATAATGTTCTTGTTACCTGAAAGTAAGTAACACTAGACATCACATTTTAAATAAAGGTGGTCCAGCCCAATAAATAAAAATTCTAATTAGGCCAATAATCGTCGTACATAGTATTGTTTTGATAGTTGATTTGATTATGGTTTAAGTCTGAAACTGACCAGATATAAAGGAAGGTAGAAATTATTAGCTTATCTAGGACTTTTGTTTGGAATGGGCCAAATCCCTTAGCTTTACTAACAATATCAAACGTTTATTACTTTTTATTCATAATTTCATGTGATAAAAACATTTTATGTTTTCTTTTTAGTACATTTTAGCAAAAATATTTCTATCAAGATAAGATTTTAGAATTTTAGGATTCTAAAATTTTGAAATCTTGAAATTCTGGAACTTTTAAATTCTGAAATTTTAGAATCTAAGAATTTCATAGTTTTAGAATAGTAAGGGGGTCAGTCCACATTTGTCAGAGAGAGGTCTATCCTGGTCACTACCTAATTACACCAATGATAGGAGTTTTAGGTAATGCCAATATTCTTTTTCTATTGAATGCAACTGAGAAAGACAACTGACCTTCATATATTTGTTTATTTTATCCTCAATATTCATTTATTTTAGATATGAATGTATAATATCAAAGCTCATTCAGCAAGGTCAATTCCAAAAATTGATGGAGACAATGATAATCATTTAACAAGGCAATACTGTGTATTAAAATGAATTTACTTTAATATTGTTTAACATATTTTTCTCGGAACATTTGTTTAACTAAAGTGTCCTTATATGTACAGATATATCAAGATATTCATTGAATTCACCTTCATTTAGAAAATGAAAAATAATTTTAGCCTTTTATTTTAACGGAATTTGATATCAGTTTGAAATAAATTAATTTTATCAAGTTATCACAAATATTTCATAAATCGTATGGACCGTTACACTGAACACTTTGTATACATTTAGTAGTTTCCCAGAAAGAGATTGTTTTTATATTGGTGCAAAGGAGTTCAGTCATATCGTTAATTAGTTATATTTTTACATAAACGCTATGTGTTGCTAAGCAAATACTATTGAAAAGAAATGTAATTATATATTTAACAAAAAACATAATTATAAGAATGCAATGAAAATTTATCAATTGGCTGCTAATAATTATTATTCGCACTGAAAAATTACGACCAATATAAGAAATTTTCTATGGTATTCAATGTTGTTTGCATTAAAAAGCGGTACTGTATTGTATTTTAATTCTGTATCATAATTACTATTAGTATTTGTTACTGTTACATTAAATATAGGAATACATATATAGCTATAGTAAGTCATAAAAGTATTTATATCTTGTCAGTTTTTACTTCTATGTAATTGAAAGAATCCAATTACATTAGTTTTTCAAATTAATTTCATATTTAGTTTTCTCTATATTGCTATGTCTACTTTAATAAAATGTATTTTTATTTTCAATATTATTTTCCGTTTAATATTCATTTATTATTTTGCAATAAAGTGTGTATTAGTTGAAGGTAGTGTAATATACATTTTTATCACTGAAAATTCAATATTGTTCCTTCTAAAAAAATAATATATCATGAAAAATAAACAATTAATAAGTTATAAATATTTTTATGATTCGCTGTATATGTACAAGAATTTGTACTTTCATAGATATATTTCTACATCTATTAACTATTTAATTCATATCGTTAGAAAAGAAAGTAATATTTGTATGAATAAATTTTAATACCAATAATTATTTGAAATTAACTACAGAAATAAACGGGGAAGGAAGTACATGTACATACATAATGCATAAGTACAGATAATATAGACCAGAGTTTACAACATACAAACTGTTACAGCTTAAAAACAAAGTAATTCTATTTTTAAAGAAATACTTATTTAGTTATTACAGTATTTTCAAAGTGTTACTCATAGAACAAAGGAAGAACCTTCTACCCTTTTCTCTTTTCCTCAAAAATTATTTTACCTGAAACATAAGTTAACAAAAGCAACTTTTTGTATTATATACAACTTATTTGAATCAAACTACATTTAAGCTAGTTTTATTGATTTTTCTATTGCCCATGAAAAAGTGTGTGTTTTTTTGTTGGAAAGCACTGATTGTGAGTTATTTTAAAAATTGTATATTTTTATTGTAGCGTGCTCTTTCAATTATATAATTTCTCAAAATAGATTTTCTGTAAAACTGTCTCCTATGCTATTTGTTTTAATTACTTGCTTGTATGTTTATATATATATTAAGAACATAAATATTGTAAAAATTCGACATGTATAATATAAAAAGTACTTTGATATTAGATAACTTTTTCTTATATCAAATTTATTTTTAAAAAATAGAAACATCACTTTAGTTCCTATGATAAAACAAAATGTAATATGCACCATAAAAAGAAGAATTATTGGTAACAGTTACATATAAAATGTATGATTAATATAATATCTTGAAGTAATGAAGTAAATTTGAAGTAATATATGTTGATATGAAAAGAATTCTTATTAGAAAGAATAAGTAGGCAAAATGGAACTCCTACATCTATTAGATTTATAAGATTAAATTATATGATTTTGAACGATCAACTTGTTGTTGATGATAATTTTATTCAGAAAGTTACTTTTTTTTGGATTGTAATTACTAATACTTTTTTTCAATAGAATTAAATCTTATGGTTATTCAAGTGTTCTGCTACTTGTAACTCGCAATAAATTAAGTATGACTGAATGATTATACAATTCATTGTATTTGTTTGAAAATATAGTTTCATTGTATTACTCAAGATACAACACAAATTTCATAAAATAACATTTATGATAAATTAATACTAACAAAACATTTTGTTAACATGAAGTTGGTAAAAATATAACTGAGAACACTTTTTAAATGAAATATAAATATTAAAACAATCACGTTACATAAGGTTTTTAATATTGTACATATTATAGACATTTATATAAACCATTTGAATAATTTTTACTATAGTGTACTATATGAACTATAATAATATATTAAGAATAATTACTTGTATTAATTGTACTTTATTTTAAATAAACAAATAGCTACACTACTCAATATCAGTTAATTGATGACACATATGTAATTGAAAAGAAAGTTAACAATAATAGTGACACATATTAGAGTTGTCTTTATAACTATTTTATAGATTTTAATTTAAAAACTCTTACACATACTTTTCATCAATTAAAAATATTTCATTTCTATGATAGAATTGTGTACCGATTTTTATTAAAAAATAATTAATATTAAAGCATAAGGTCATAACAAAATAAATTTGTAAATATACTTTTTTGTTACGGCATGTTGGCTATTATTTTCAGTGGCTGATCAAGATATCTTGCTAAAGCCTGTGCTTTTTCTCTTAACAAACCAAATCCCACATTTTCTTTTGCATATAAACATAATAATAGATTGGCTACTTCAGTAATTACAACTTTTCCATCCTACAAAAAATTATTGAATGTATATGAACAATATTCATAATTTATGGATTACATTTAACTCTTTGACTGTGATGTGCTTTAAAAGGAAACCATTGCAGTAAAATATTTTTAAAACTGGAATTTTGCATTATTAAAAAAAGAAACTATTGAAACAGTTTTTAATATTCAAATTATTTGATTGGTTCCTGTTATATACACAGCAATGTGCCTATATTAATTTAGTAAAATAATAAATCTGTTTAAGAAAAATTTACTGGGCGTATATGTATATATGCGTATTTCGCAATCAAAGGGTTAAATACTACATATTATAAAAACTTTTTGTAAATAAATAAAAAACAGAAATAAGAAAATATTGATTACCGCGCAATCCATCAACACAAATTGTAATTCATCTTCCTTAAATGCATTTCGTCCATTTTTTTCGTAAGCTGACCAAATGTTGCTTGTAATAGCAGCGGTTACTCTTGCATCTTTATCTCCATAACCACTATAAGCTAATAAACCACCATCTCTGTTTAATAATCTGAAAAATATATATTTATTTATAATAGCATTTTATCATAAGTAACAATTTTATCATTTCTACTTACAAAGTATTTTCAACGCCGCCTGTATTAGCTTGACTAAGTACTTGAGTGAGAGCTTTTGGCTTCAACATGATTCTGTAAATAAAATCTTTTTACTATTTTTTTTTAGAATTCCTTCAATTAATTTTGTTTTAAACGTAATATTGAACAGTAACAATAATTATTAAGTTTTGATAGCTGTATTTTATAAAAACGTGTGCATATGAAGTTTATAATATTAACAAATGCAAAAATCAGACATCTTAATCACGAATTTCAGTTCTTAATATGTATATATGTTAATGCCCGGGAACTTCAAAATAATTTACCTTTAATATCAATTTTGAAACTCTGTTTTTATTATTTTTAGTTGATACAGTCAAAATTATTTGTAAATGAAAAAATACTTCCAATGTATCTAAAAGTATATTTAATCGATTCAAAAATTTCAAATTTTAACGATCATAGGAATTTCTGGTTCATTTGCTTGTGTGGCGATCAAATCTGGCTTTCCCAAGGAAAATGATGACACAGGGAAACGCCGGTAGACCTGATATTTGATAGTGTGATGTCACAGCCTACTCTGAGAGGAATATTAGAGGAGTATGACAATTTTTTGTTGTAACGCTATCGCTTGAATGGATGAATGTAGTATGGCGACAATGGCACGCGACATACACAGGGTGTCCCAGAACTGGGGTAGGAATCGAAGAGGGATGATTGCTGACGTCGTTCTTAACAACTTTTTCCTTTGCTAAAATGTTTAAGACTTCGTCAAAGATTAACGAAAAACATTGGCCAATCAGAGCACGCCTTTAGCATGAGCCGAACCACGAGAGTGTTGGGTAAGCTCTGAGTTCAAGCACCGACGAGATATTGTTAAAGACTGCCAACCCCTGTGTTAAAGTTCGGCACGCCAAGTGGGCCCAGTGGTATATTCCCTTATTCCCTTATTCTGCCATGTGGTGAACAGAGTCGAACGTCCCAAACATTTGAAAGTTCGCGTTCTTGCATACCCCGCGCTGACACTGGCGCATTCAAGGGGGGCTAAGGGGCTCTAGCATCCCCCAAAGAAAAAGGAAAGAGAACAACAGAAAATCTTCCAAAATCTGTTCCTAATTAAATTAGTGTTACTATTTGTCACATATTAATAACACTGTTTTTTGTATTAAAAATATTTTTATTCGTTCAACTTAGCTCCCTCCAAGAACAAATTCTGAGTGCGTCATTGCCCGCACATACCCCGTCATGGCCCATCATTGACTGTCCTTTCTTTTTCAAAGTTTTATGGCAAGACATTATAACAGAAAATAGACCCCGAATATTCTGAAAGGTCGCAGAATGTGTCAAGCAGTGGACAAATTTGTATATACTATTGTGGTAATTTTAGATACTTATTTTTTCGTGGAATACAAATCTAATACTGGAAATACCGCGACTTAGTTACTTTTACAATTTTTGCTATCAATCGCACCGTGAGTTGCTCGACTCACAATCAAACATGGAATAACAGCTCTTGTTCATTACCGATCATTCGTGGCATTACCGCAGCATATTCTGAATAAATAAATAAATATAATTCAAACTATAGCGTGTTTGGTGTCATTTTAATCAGAAAAATCTCACAAATGCGATAGTAAAAGTTTCATTAAGAAGAAGTTAAAAATAAAAAAGTTTTATCGTTCAATTAGTATTAGTCACACCGATATTACGGTCGGATCATATCACACGGTTTCCTCGTCGAGCATCTCGGTTCGCCTAGGGGGATCCCCACTTTTTGTTGCACTTATCCAGCGTTTACTTACTATTAAATAAAAGATTTTATTGAAATACATTTCTCTTCTTTTCGATACCTGTTACTTATTATATTATTATGATTATTATGATTATTACATTATTATTATTATTGATTATATCCTACAGAACCTATGTAATATTTTTTATTCATTTCTAAATGATTTCTAAATGAAATTAGAAGAAAATAATTTCTTTCTAATTTTTTTTTCTATTCATCATTTCTTCTAAATGAATATTTATTTACCTTAAACACACATACCCTAAACTTAGAACTAGAGTTCGTCATTTATTAAAAAAAATAATTTCCAATGAACTAAAGAGGGTTATTAAGTTACCTCCTTTAAAATATTTTACGTCTTAAAAAGTATCTCCGAAAGGTTTGTAAAACGAACTTAACTCGAATCACCGAAGAAATAATAATAGCATCGACCAGATAAAATATCATCTCATGTCTCATGATACAGTTCAGTACCGAACCTCGTCGTTGGTAAATTCACTGATTCTGGTTCTGTTTCTTACTGCGGCCGTAATATATTATAGAGGGCGTAAGAAAACGTCGAATTTTTTCGCCGCCACGAACTCCCATAAGGATGGCAGTCTTTAACAGTATCTCGTCGGTGGTTCAAGCCGTGGTCGTGATCAAGTGCATCAGCACCACGTCAGCATAATAGGATTCATTGAACAAAAGTTTCTCCGATTTGGCAGGTCGGTATTACAGCAGTTTTTTCGTTGGGCCTGGTGGAGCCACTTGCGTGTTCTTGTACACGATCTAAGAAGGCAACAGCGCCTCAAGTATTTTTACAAAACGTTCATCTCTTCAGAGGCATCGGGACGATTCGCGTAAAGAATGAAAGCGAAACATCGGCGCGTGTTTAGAGTGAGATGTACGGTGATCATGCTATCCTTCTTTCAACCCAAATGATAGAATTGTCCCGCTCCGGTAAATTTTGACTGACCAAACGCGTGGAGTTTATATAGCGTACCGTAGCACGCCTCGCTGCTGAGAAATATATGCCTACACTGAAGAACCGAAGGAACGTGCAATCTGAGAATTTTTTTTAGAAAAAAAAAAATAAACGTAATCAAGCTAATGCCTGATTCTGGCTACGATTCCAAATCGGTAGTCTTTTTAGTTCGACGCTACCTTATAACTACTAGCGTTGAAAACTTTACCGACAGTCCCTAGAAAAATCCCTAGAACGTACATAGAACACAAATTACATCGTCATTACTAAACAGAATGCAACAAAATTTGAGGGACGTGTTCAGGAGGCCCTAAAGAATGGCACGCTAGTCCTTATATTATCCGAATCGTCAAAAAGTTCTAAAATATTGATATTTATGTCTGTTAACGGTCAAGAAAATAGCGGATCGGACTCACCTGCACCAGGGTACGTCATGCAATTGGGACGGGTTATACCTTGAATTTGGCAAAAGATAGGAAAAAGCTGTTCATGTAAAAGTTGAATGTATGATTAAACTTCCATCGAAGCATTAATTCGCACCTAGTGCGGCGTAGAACCAAGTTTAAGTCGATGGAAACGTGACTGACTGTGTTCATTTCACTCCCGTTTCGATCCACAAGCTTTGACGGAGTGGTAGCGATTTTATACAAAATTTAATCGGTGGAAACGGTTGAAACAGATTCAAAATAGATAGTGCCAACCTTTACTTTTTATTATTCAGTTACCAAAATGGAAAATAAACGTGATGTATGGTCATAAGATGAAACTTTGACATTAATTAATATTTTAAAAGAGAAGGAAATTTTGAAGATCACGGACAACAAGAGATTTCACATCGCTTGTGAGTTTGTGTACATTTAGCAAACAAAACTTAAGTTGGCTCTACTGAAATATCAATGTTCCTCATTTCTACTCCACTGCCAGTGGAAACAGTACATTAAATTCGATGCGCACCGGAGCAGGAACGGATTTAAGACTTCGGTGGAAACTAACTCTATGATAATGTCTATTTTTATATGATTTTATTTTCTTCGCGCACTCAATTCAACGATGCACTCAAAAAATGCAGATGCACTTTTTATTTAAATAGAATTACATATTTTTTTTACTCGTATCAACTCCTTAGAACATTCTGCATAAAAAAGTACTGTGGTACTATTAGAACTAATAAATCCAAGTTCTTTAACACAAAACCTTTTATTTCTCCCAAAAAACACAGAAATATAGAATCGCTCGTGATCATAACATAATTGACATAACTAAAATCGCTTCGTTCCGCCGCGCTCGCGTTTACTGTGCGTTGCAGCTAAGTTGCCGCCCAATCAAATTCGTTGACCTGCCTCCAGTCACACGTATTAAGGTCGATTTATATTATCCGTTCAGACACGGGCCGTTTCCGATTAGTTAGGTTCCGATAAATATTGTTCTGTGTTATTGAATACGAGTGTTTATATATACCGTGATGGATTGGTTCAGACGCATTCCGTTTCAAATATAAGACGACCAATACTACATCGTTTTTTTCGGAACCTAACTGATCGGAAACGGCCCGTGTCTGAACGGATAATATAAATCGACCTTTATGTTTATTGGCTGAGGCCCTTACATCCACAAATCTATCGCGTGACGAACGTCGCCAAGGACAGACATTGAAACAGAATGAGATGAAGCGATAGCGAGCGGCGAATTCAATGCATCGGCGTAGAGGTAGATTCGGGGTTTACATTATTAAGAAAACAGGAGAGTTTTTATATTTTCCATAAATTTTGCATAACAACTGTTGTCAAGAACGAGTATTATAAAAAATCCATTAATATCCCCCAAAAAATCGCATGTTTATATAGTTAAATGTATCTTCCGCGAATATGGAAATTTTACGCCTATGCAATCCGGCCGCTCACTTCTCAAGTTACGGGCTCCTGGAGGGGATTAGGTGGAGCGAACGCACAGTTCTCTTGCCACTCTGACGGTTCAGTTTGTTGGTGCTCGGCAACTTGGCTGCAACGCACAGTACATATATCTCCTTCTCTCCCCTCTCTACTATTCCCTCTTCTATTTCGCTAATGCGCCTATGTCTAACAGTACAATGTTTAAAAAATTAATATTTTGTGAGATCACATATTTTTCATAAGTTCAACTTTTACATTAATAGCTTTTTCCTATCTCTTTCCAAATTCAAGATATAACTCGTCCCAATTGTGTGACGCACCTTGTACTTTTAGAAACCTATAGTAACTTTATTTTTCGAAACTAATAAAAAATACAGAGGAGTATTAGTCAATATTCTGAGTGACTGCGAATAATTTAAATAAATAAATATCTCACATACAACTTATGTAAACATTTGCAGAATTATTGCAAAGAGGAGGTATATTCGTCCCTTGTTATACCTCCTCTTTGAGCAAGGTTTATTATGGGGCGCTGTAAAAAATCCAGGCGGGCGTCAGTCAAAACTTAGCGAAAAGGGACAATTTCAACATTCAGAATGAGTAGTACGTCTCACTTAGCGTTCGGGCGTTGTTGCCTTTTCCACTTGCCTTTGCAGCACAGTTCGAGTGACGTAATTAAGCTAACGCCTGATTCTGGCAGTCTTTTTAGTTCGACGCTACCTTATAACTACTAGCTGAACTAAATTTGTCACGTGACTTGCTGTGTATTATCCACAAAATGGCGGAACTGGTTTGTAGGAATGCAATTACGGGAATCGGTTATTCGTTCTTGTATGAGAAGATTTTGAGCTGAATAAGGGCTCATTCGAAAGAGGAATGCAGGGGGTTCAATGCAGGGGATTCAGGTCATCGTTTGAGTCAGAAAACTCTTTTAGTGACCTAAAAATACTTGGATTCTGCGGGTGTATTTTCTCGATTTTTCCTCTACTTTGGACACTCATATTATTAGATATCAATACAATCTCGTTGAACCATGACCTGAGCCCCCTGCATTGAACCTTCCTCTTTCGAATGAGCTCCCACTCAGCCCCAAATCTTCTCATGTAAAGACAAATAACCGATTCCTGTGAACCCCTTAATAGGCCCATTTTTGTCTGGGGTAGATACTAGAGTCCGGGATTTTTCGTTTTTCGTCCTTATATGAGAATATTTGAGGCTGGGCGAGGGCTCATTCGAAAGAGGAAGGTTCAGTGCAGCGCGCTCTGGTCATGATTCAACAAGATTTTGTTAATATCTAATAATATGAGTGTCCAAAGTAGAGGAAAAATCGAGAAAATACATCCGCAGAATCCAAGGTATTTTTAGGTCACTAAAAGAGTTTTATGACTTAAATGATGACCAGAGCGCACTTCACTGAACCTTCCTCTTTCGAATGAGCCCTCACCCAGTCTGAAATATTCTCATATAAGGACAAAAAACAAAAAATCGCGATTGCATTCCCACAGACGAGTTCTGCCATTATCTGGATAATACAGAGCAAGTCACGTGACAAATTTAGTTCAGCTAGTAGTTATAAGGTGGCGTCTAAGTAGAAAGGCTTGTCGTCTCCCACTTTTCGCAGCCGGTGGAGTGGAGAGATCGACCAGCATGGCTGAACTGTCAAGGAGTTCGTTACTGACCGTCCAGCTGTAAAGACCGCGTCCATGGGAACGCCATTCTAACACGCAATAAAGTCAAGTACGATAGTTCTAACCAGAACAACCGTTACATTCATTCTCACCCGCTGCAGGTCCCATCAGGCTGCCGATTCATAGCCAGAATCAAGCGTTAGCTTGATTACATCACTCGAACTGTGCTGTGAAGGTAAGTGAAAAAGGCAACAACGCCCGAACGCTGAGTGAGGCGCACTACAGTCATGCTGTCCTTCTCTCATTCTGAATGTTGAGATTGTCCATTTTCGCTAAGTTTTGACTGCCGCCCGCCTCGATTTTTCACAGCGCCCCATAACAAACCTCACCCCATTCAAACTATATCGTGTTTGGTATCATTTTAATCAGAAAAATGTCACCAATGCGCTAGTAAAAGTTTCAGTAAAAAAAAGTCAAAAATAAAAAAGTTTGGTGAACTTGTAGATGAGCTACTCCCTCTCCGATTTTGATGATTTTTAAATATGTTGTAAAATTCGCCATTTTAAGCAACTTTTCTCCTCTAAGCTATATGTCGGACTCGATTAGTTTGCGAGAAATTCGCGAAAGTACATTGTTACTAATACAGCGAATTCTGCTTATACGTATGCGCCCGTGTCCATGTGTGTGCCCGGCTCTCTTGCCTACCGTTTCTGTAAGCAACAACGTGTGGTCCGGCTTCTAATCGTACAACGGGTGAGCTGAAAAATCAAATTATAATATCCGACTCGCGTGGCCGGCCGCCCGAAGGCGGCCGGAATATTAGTATTATCTAACCTGATCTTTTTTCTTCTTTCTTTTGTGGGAGAAATCTTCGAAAGACGCCCCCAGCCCTTCCGAGGAGGGGCTGGGGGTAGTGGCGGATTTTTACCGGCTAAAACCCCCATGGTGACCTGCACTGGGCGTTAGGGAGGGCCCCAGGACCTCTGTTGAATACGCCGGGACCCCCCCCACCCTTGGCGTGTTTGCGCCCCATCTCGGGGGAGGGTCTAACGTTTGACCCTCCTCCTACGTGCCAACTCAGCCGACGTCGGCCATTCCTCGAGCCGCATGCAATGGCAACCATGACCCCAGCCGACGTCGGCCATTCCTCGAGCCGCATGCAATGGCAACCGTGACCTCAGCCTCGGCAAGCTGCGGCCAAGCGGCTCCACCTAGGAGCCGCCGATCTGCGATGGGGTAGAGGGGCAAGCCCCTCCGCCCCGTCCTATCACTCTGGAGGAGACCGAAGCCTCCCCTCAGTACATCTTCACTGTTGGGGGCGGTGGACAAAGTTATCAGGGCCCACCGCCTCGTCCTCCTCAGCTAACGGTGCCGTCGGGGGGTCTCCCCCGACAGCGTCTCCTCCTTCAGGGCGATGACCTTCTCGCAGAAGGCGTTGGAAACTCCCCTCTACAAGAAGTCTAACATTGACTGTAGCGCCATCTACTAACCATTCGTCACGAGTGTACTAAAAGTAGACATATATATATATATTAGTATACTATATATGTCTCTGATATATATAGTACTTCTCAGACTGATATATATATATATATAGAATACTAAATTCTGGATAATCATAAAGTGACTGCTAAAAATCAGAGATTTATGATTTAGCCGATTTCTTATCTTTAAATCATAAATCTGTGATTTAAAGCAGCCACCTGCAGGGATACGAAAATAAATTAATAATTATTAATTATTTGGACTCCACCAAAACGGACGCTATGACGCTATGACGCCAAACCACGCCAAATAACGCCAATCAACGCCAATGTAGGCGGCGCTGATTGTCGTCGTAGTAACGCTATCTACGTACTGTCCGTCATCAGGGAACTAAAACTGAAAAGCCAACAAAATCACTGAGAGTTTCCGACCCCTGCCCGCCACTGATCCTCGCCGGCGAGCATGATTCTCACAACGCTCGCCGGCGAGAGATCCACCCCTAACTCACACTGCAGGGCGTGACAGGCCCGCGCAAACACTGGACAGTACTCCAGTGTGTGTTGCGTGGAGTCCCGCCCCGCCCCGTAGTGGTGGCATATAGCCGTCGCCTCGCGACCAATCCGGCACAGGAAGTCACCGAAGCAACCATACCCGGTGAGCACCTGTGTGGTCCGGTAGGTGATCCGACCAAAGCCGCGGTCCCGCCATTTTTTGATGACGGGCAAGACCGCCCCGACCGCTCGTTGGCCAGCGGCGCCACTCGCGATTATCTCGCGACGCCACCGGTCCAGGGCATCTTGTCGGGCCTGGCACCTCCATTTCCGTTCGACCGACTGCTCAACCTTTTTTTTTTTTTTTATTGATTTGATAGGAGAGGAAAATGCGTTTGCGCACGCGCGGGTTATCCCCTGTTCGTCTATTCGGCTAGAGGGGGCCCGGACAGTGTGGGACTCATATCCCCTGAAGGGAGGCCTGGCGCCCGTTTGGTGGGGGGCAAACCCAAAGAGGCAACCCAGAAGGGGCAAACTGGCAGCCCAACCCTGAAGGGCGGGCACAAAAGGTAGGGGTCACAGTCCAGAAGGGGCGACCCAGCGGCGCCCAGAAGAGGCATCCGCGGCCTGATATAATACCCACTAAAAACCTCTCCCCTGACGTAGGCCGGTACCATTTCATCCTTTGAGGATATCCCAGTTGTATCGGCGATAGCCGCAACGGCGCTTTAGCTCCCAAGCTTTCATATGCACTTTCGTCTACCCTCAATCCGCCATGCGCTAGGCAACCATAGGGGATTGAGGATCCACGCCGTTACACCTCCGATCAAGCGGTAGGATATTTCAACCTGCACGACATATGCACAGAATTTTTCTTCGGCCACGATCAGGAACCGGAGGACTTTCCCACTCATCGGGTGATCGCGCCATGTCTTCACCCACCTGCAAAGCGAGGACGGGACTTCTTCTTCGGCCACGACCAGGAACCGGAGCACCCTGCTCAACGGGTGGTCGCGCCTCGTCTTCACCTGCCTGCCATTTGCGAGGGCAGGGCTTCCTCTTCGGCCACGATCAGGAACCGGGACACCCTGTCTCTCGAGTGATCGCGCGATGTCTTCACCTGCCTGCCATATGCGAGGACAGGGCTTCCTCTTCGGCCACGATCAGGAACCGGAGGAATCCCACTCAACGTGGTGATCGCGCCATGTCTTCACCCACCTGCAAAGCGAGGACGGGTCTTATCTTCAACACGGCCAGGTCCCGGGGCGAGTCCTTCCCCCGGTCAGCCGTGCCACGTCTTTTAGGCTGCAATCCTCGGTGTCTTGTTCCATACATACTCCCCACACACACACACCGCCCCTATCAAGCATAGCGCATCAAATGCCCAAACTAGCCAAGTAAGTAAGAGGAGGCGTGCAGATTACCCATAAAGAAAGAAAGTAGGCACATGTGAACCCGGCATAATACGAGTAAACTTGTTCAAAAGAGGCGTCAGCAGTAATACCAACCACCAACACCAAGCACGTGGCGTCATCACGCCGCCAAATCGACCGTCAGAATAAATAAGAGAGGAGAAGAGAAATATAGATCAAGGAAACCGCAAAATAATCAATAAATAACACGAACACTAGGTAAATATGCCTTCAGTATATTAGATATCTTAACTATATAATAAAAGCAGACAGGAATAACAATTCTAAACATATTTACAGGAAATTCCCTAAAAGGAAAAGGAAAACTCAGTCCGCACGGCGCCCAACGGGGAAACGCCCAGTGATCAGTGATCCGTCGATAATTGCCGAGAAACCAGTCAAAATCAAAATTCAAAACTCAAAACACAAACGTTATCCTATGTAGATATAGGCGGCCACGCATCGTCGCGAGACATTACCATTGTAAGCACTTACCATGGAGCAATTAGTTGTATACCCCAAAATTAAAGATAAGAGCGATAACAAAATATAATCTACAATAAGAAACGAGTGTAAATTGTGTAAATTCGACAGAATACAAGGAGTAGCATGTACAAGAGAAAACGAGCAAAATATAGCTTACATAAACCATCATAACGCCCTAGATTATTATACCGCCAACCCAGTATTAATATATTCAATATTAGAATAAGGAATTTAATCTTTAATTTCCAAACAAGTGACACAGCGCAATGCATCATGTAAATGCTACCAGATCATACAAAACACAGCATTACCGTGACCCCATTTGCATATCCCTGGAGGAACTTAATACTGAAAGTACAAAAATAATAATGAAAGATAGAAGATTTCCAGCGACCACAACCAGAACAGAGAATGACGGGCCATGCTGTATTAATGCAATAACAAGGAACGATTACAGCAAAGCAATCAAAATAAATTAAATTTGAAGTTGTGGAACTTAAAATATGAACTGCGCAAAGTTAAAATTAACTTCTTGTATTCCAGTCAAAGTAAACCGCTCCCAGGTCCCATCAAGACTAATTGCAATCCAAACACGCCATGTAGGTAGTAGTTAATAAAATAATCGTAGTTAAAGTTAAATTGCCGTTGGCAAAAGAGTATTAAAACAAGCAACTGTAGCAACGAGAGTAGAAAAGTTAGTTAGAGGAGTATAATAGCAAATACTAGAACACATGATCAACATCCAAATTAAATCAGCCACACAAGACTGCGTTGAGCTCTGCTGCATTGAGTAATAACTACATAAATAAGTAATAAAGTAACCGATAATCGAGCAAGAGTGCCAAAAGGAAAACAGAGTAATTCGTTAGAGCGCAAACATCAATTACTATCAGAATATAAACACAAACATTGCTGCGCTCGCTTACTTTTAACTACTACACTATGTCAAAATGGGTAGCGAAGAACTCGAAACAATACATACAATATCGTGCAAAAGCGAATTAAGTAAATGTAAAATTTATAACATATAGTATGTATATGAATTAATATGATCAAACACAACATAATAGCGACACCTAAGTCATCTTATAACACAATGCAACAGAAAGCGCAGCAGTTCACACACGCCAAGGGTTAATAAATTAAACTATACTTATTACAATAGTGATTTAATAGTTCAAACAATTCAATTCAAAGTAATTATATTCCATTTACAGCCAAGCACCTGACAGGCGCTAGAGCAGAAGTAAACAGCCCGACTGCTCAACCTAACCTAACCTAACCTAACCTACACGTATAAGTAACAGAAAAATAAAATACTGTTACTTACATATCCAATTAGGTATACCTCCAAGTATAAGTAAAATAAAAATAAAATACTGTTACTTACATGTCCAGATTAAGTTAGGTTAGGCTATATTAATATTTCGGCCGCCTTTAGGTAAGTAATTTCAAATTATTGAAATTAGTTAAATTTAGTTTTAAGGTCACCCGTTATATGAATGGTAGTTCGGCCATGTAGTGTTATTGACAGAAACACTAGAGAAGCGAGTGTCGCTTGCCGACACAGCCGCGGACGTATACGTGCATAAAAAATTCAATGTAATAGTACTCATAGTTTTTTTTCGAATATCTCGCAAAGTAATCGAGTCCGACATATAGCTTGGAGGAAAAAAGTTGCTTAAAATATCGAATTTTACAACATATTTAAAAATCATCAAGTTCTACAAGTTCACCAAAAGTTTTATAATTGAATTAGTATTAGTCACACCGATACGTTTCAGCTCTTTTCTTTCATCATTGGACCTATCTCTCTCCTCCACTGTCTGTCCCTTTCTACGTTCACGCTTGGCTGGTCGTCGCGTGTAATCCGAGAGTCGACACCTCGGCTGGATATATGCAACGTCTGAGTCCCAATCTCTGTTGCATATATTGAGCTCTTACTATATAGACGCCAGATCTCTCCATTTATTAGTTCTAATAGTACCATAGTACTTTTTTATGCAGAATGTTTCAAGGAGTTGACACAAGTAAAAAAAAATGCAATTCCATTTAAATAAAAAGCGGATTTGTATTTTTTGAGTGTATAGTTGCATTTACGAAGAAAATGAAATCACAGTAAAATAAACATTATCATACCATTGAATTTTTACATAAACAGCTTTTTCCTATCTCTTACCAAATTCAAGATATAACCCGTCCCAATTGCATGACGTATCCTGTATACTTTTATTAACTAAACAACATTTATTTAAAGAAGTTAAGTAGGCATATATTCTTCAGAAGCGAGGGGTGCTACGGTGCGCTATATAAAATCCACGCGTTCAGTCACTCAGAATTTATCGGAGCGGGACAATTCTATCATTTGGGTTGAAAGAAGGATAGCACGATCACTGTACATCTCACTCTAAACACGCGCCAATGTTTCGCTTTCGTTCTTCAGGCGTATCGTCGCGATGCCTCTGGCGAGATGAGCGTTTGAATGTGTTTGTAAAAATACTTGTTGCCTTCCTAGATCGTGTTGCGCGCACGCTAGCTGAGAATTAAACCTTTCATGTTCGTAACAAAACACGCAAGTGGCTCCACCAGGCCTAACGAAAAAACTACTGTAATACCGACGTTCCGAATCGGAGCGGTCACGTGCCGTGTCTACCCCCATAATTAGAAACTGATTAAGAGTAACAAAAGTATAATTTCAGAAAAATAAGTATAACAGTAAAAATGGTTTAGTTAACAGAAAGTATGAGCTGTTTGAAATACATGAAAAGAACAAATGAAGTATATGTAATGGCAAGAAAAATATAAAAGTGAGATCTATTGAGTTAAAATATGACACAAAATTTGTAACAGAAGTTAACAAGTGAGCTATTTGATTTGTTTGGATTCTTAATTCGATATAATACGGTATGATTCGAGGTGATTCAAGCGACGATTTCGGCAACAATTATTGTATAATAAGAGAAAACGGTTCCTGGGGGAAAACTACCACTACCACGGTCTCGTGGGCCGTCTCTCTTTAGTATAAACGGAATTTTTACCAGAAATGATAAATATATTCGATATCTTAAAACGCGGTGTTAAACGGGACGATCCAGTGGGAAATTTCCAGGACGCGCAGTCCCATAGATCGCCCGTTTTGCCTCACAATCAGCCAGATTTGTCGTATTGAATAGAATGAGATAGACAATTTACCGAACTCGATGTTATAATATTATATGAGAAAATATCTATATGTTTGCTTAGTATCGCTGATGTTGTCTGGAAATCTGGAAGGCGAAGAAAAGATGAGAAAACGGTGTTACGGTTGCGAGACGATACGAAAAACTAATTTTAAACGACGCGACGCGAAAAAGAAATAATTGATTAACGAACGATTTAAAATTGAAAGAGGAAAGATAGATAACTGAAAAGTATGAAAAGAATTTAACGTATTCGTAAGAGTCTTTTACGCGGAAAACGAGAATCGCAATCTCCCGGCACTCTGCCTTTTACAAGGACTTTACCGGTCAGCTAATCACTACAATTTTCACGCGAAAACTATTGCTCGACGCGAACACGGGCTCCCCGTCACGTACCTCGCGATTTTTCGACGAAGAGTGATTTGCCTCAGTCAAGCGATCGTGTCTCAGGGTTCGACCCGCGATCGGTACCCCAAAGTAGGGACATTATTAGGCAAATCAGGATACGTGTCGAAGGGGCAGGCCCGTGCGTATAGGTTTGTCTAGGCGCGTTTCCCGAGTTCTCATCCCTTCTTGACCTTTCACGTTGCCTTTGTCTAGCGTTGTCTATTTCTTTCTACCCCTCTATTCTGCGAAATTCGTGCGTCGCAATTCTAATACTTCTGGAATGTTCGAAATGTATTACGACTTGGTTTTATTTGAATTCGTTAATCAAAGAGGCTTTTATAAATGACGTTTCCAGTATTGAAGAAGGTCTATGTTTTATAATAGATGTTTGATTTACTGTATTGAATGACTATTAGTTGAATACTGTTAATTATTCCGTTCTTTATTCGCGTTTCGGCGGTTTACGTAAAGGCAATCGATATTTTATTGTTATCGTTAAATCGCGGATCTATGCATATGGTTTGTTGCATTTATCTAACAGTAGACTCGCGTGTTAATTATTAACGATATATATTTATATATTAACGATATACACTGAGCAACAAAAATAGCGCAACATAAATTTTTATCGAAATTTCACTCAACTTTAAATGATCATAACTCCGCGAAAAATGACCGTATTAGATAAATTTTTTTTTTATTTTAAAGCTTGAAGTCTCCACTTTCAACAGAATTTGTCATATTTTGATTTCCTCCTTCCCCCTCCCCGCCATCTCCTTTAAAATGAGGTGATGTTTTGTTTTAAGAAGTTTGCACACTTTGACGCGTTCCACGGGGTGCAATGAATTTTTCCTGCAAATTTCACAAAAATTGCCGCAGAGTATAAACTATTCTGCAGAAATTTAAAAAAAATTGAAGTCTCTACGATTTTTTTTTGGCGGAGTTATGAGTGTTGCAATTTACCCATGCATTTTACTCAGTTTATGCTTGTTACCGCCAGCATTAGCGTTACCCAATGCACACCACGAGGAGGTTGCTGGCCGGATTTTGTGCATCGTGTGTATGTGTGTGTGCGTCTGTATGTGCGTGTGTAACATTTAATAGTGTGTGTTCCCGCCTCGTCTTTGATTAACTTCCTCAAGACGTTCCTGCATATTGATGCAGGATCTTATTGCATCTTGAGGAATTTTGTGCCATATCTGTTGTAATGCCGACTCCAATTGTCGGAGGCTAGTCGGCAGTCTCTCTAAATTTTGGAGCCTTCTTCCCATCATATCCCACACATGTGATATTCCACATGGGAACACACACTATTAAATGTTACACACGGACACGCACACACACATACACACGATGCACAAAATCCGGCCAGCAACCTCCTCGTGGTGTGCATTGGGTAACGCTAATGCTGGCGGTAACAAGCATAAACTGAGTAAAATGCATGGGTAAATTGCAACACTCATAACTCCGCCAAAAAAAATCGTAGAGACTTCAATTTTTTTTAAATTTCTGCAGAATAGTTTATACTCTGCGGCAATTTTTGTGAAATTTGCAGGAAAAATTCATTGCACCCCGTGGAACGCGTCAAAGTGTTCGTATTCAAACCTTCGCATTCTGTAATCATTCAAACAGTTTCATTCCGTTCAATTCCAATCACTTTCGTTCTTAATCGCATTCATTCTTTGGTGGAAGGACTGGCTGACGCATGCTTTGGAGGTAGGAGAGGTATTTCGTTTGCGAGGTAAAACAAAAATCGTATTTCCCTTATTCTGCGCAGTTAAGCTGGGAAACTTCCAAGTGCGTCGCACTGCTTAACCGCTCGGCGAAAGATGTTGATAGTACCTCTCCTTAACCTTAGCGATTTCGAATTTCTATGTGTTTATTGCTACGCGGTTTCGACGAGGCAATCGTCCCAAGGAAGGTTAACTTCTTATTATTTGAAAAGAACTAATTATAGCCTCCTTTGTGTGCCTCGCCTGGGATTATCTCCAAGTGCTGCGCGCCGACGAGGTACACAAATTCAGTATATTAAACGGTTAAACTATTCAACACTATCAGAAAGAAAATGAAAATAGATGTTAGCCACGGTCGGATTATTGAAAATAATCCGGACGTAACAATAGCACGTGCTCTGGTTGCCTGACAATTCTAAGATACAAACATTTTAAAATTCTGAAAATCCTAGTTATGTCATTGGATATGTATGCATTTTTCACAATTCGTTTGACATCTGCCAACTATACGAATATACATATACCGCAGTTCACCAGAATCCATAACTGCGACGCGCAGGTTGGAAGATGGTGGGGGAACGCAGCGAGCTCTCCGCCAATCGCTTTCCACTTCGGTTGGGAGTATCGCCAATCAGGGCGAAGATGCGCACTGGAGATACGCGAAGAACGAAAACTGGTCTTTTTGCAGTTATGGACTCTGGTGAACTGCATGTGTAAGTAATGCGTGTAAATATGTGGCGTTCTTAACAAAAAATTATCGAGCTGCTACCGTAAATAATTAAAACAAATTGATCTTATTTCAATAAACAGAACATTTGATACAATTTTGTTCTGTTTCTGAAATATTGTGCAACATTAATGTAACATTGTATTACATATGCCTTAAAATTTTATAATTATGTAAAATAAAACATATACATATATGTACGTATATTTCATCAATCAATGTTTTTATTTTCCTTCATGTATTATAAAATGATAATTAAATTTTAATATGATGTAATTTACGATTCAATTCCTCGAACTTCAAAATTTTTCGAATAAAGAAATCACCGTAACGATGTGCCACCTTTGTATCCGCAATATGAATCATATCATGATCGATATAAAAATCCAACTGTAACAATAAACATTACAAAATTATTATTATTTATTCACAGTTAATATAAAATTGCATAAATTAAACAAGGGTAAATTACCTCGGAACCAGATTGAAATTTACCATCTAAACCCGACGCACCTTTTGTCCAGACAATATTTTTCATCTTATGCTTAAAACACAATAAATGAATAGTTAATGCACTGACTTCTTTATCCAAATCCCAACTTTCATCAGGCCTGGTATTGCTACACATAAAGGTAGCTAGCTTGCTTAATGGTAAAGTAGTATACAATTTTAAATATGAACGAATTGTTGGTAACATTTTCTGTTGTACAACTTCATCCATAAAGACTTGCGTTTGATGCTTGATTGCTTCTCGAACATAATCCTCATTTGGATTGTCAGGGTTTGGTGGTGTAAGAGATAAAAATTTTGGGCATGCAAATAAAAAGCACGATTCAAATTCACCAAGATCTCCATATTGCATTTTATACATTTTTTCATGATAATTTTTATCTCGTAATGCTTGTTGCAATCCTTCGTCTATACATTGTGGATGAAGAACAAGACAAATTGCTAATAAATGATACATTTGTTCAGTCTGCTTATTGATTTGATCATTTTGAAAGCTTCTTGTTGCAAATAATTGCTTCGTTCTCTGAATATATAATAGAATACCAGAAAATGTTCTGATTGCATCTGCATATCTACGCATCATCATATAAGCAAAACCAACATAATATGCTGTTGATATTTGGCAGCCAGGAACATGAGAATATGCACTTTTTTTATAAAGTTCCACATTTTCTAATACCTTAATAGCTTGATAATAATCTCCCAAAAGGGAATGTAAACGTAATAATCCTACAAGAGAAAAATATCCCAACATTTTATATAAAGAATGTCTTCCAAATACGCCAGCTACAGAATCTGGATCTCCACCACTTGCATATACTTCTAATTGACTCTTAATTTTTGATTTATCTACCAAATAATGTAAAACATTTAAAACACAAAGTACATCCCATATTTTATTATGAGCATTCAAATTTTCAATTTCTTCTGGCGTTTTATTCGATAAGATGGCACGATATTGTGCAAAAGATTGAAATTGGTAGACAAATTCATCGATAAGTTCCCACAACCACTGATCAGGTAATTCTAGTTGTACAGGTGTATTTGGATGTAAAATGTAATTAAACAGGTCACAATAATTATAAAAAGAACCAATACGTTGCTCCAATGTTGGTCCTTGCATTCGAGCATAAATGTGACGGTAATACAGTTCTTTATACAAAGTAAGGAATACTGGATCATTATCAACTATGTGCGCAATCGTTTGAGCATCCGGCCAGGAAGATTTATCGAATAGCTGTTCCGAAATTTTTGGAAATGAAGTTTCGTATAAATTTTGTATATCAAAAATCATTCCTTCATTTATGCAATTTCGTAAAAATACCAGAAAATTTCTTACAACTTCTGGTACCTGACGATAGCTCAATCTATCATATTGATCGTTATGAACATCTGCTGACCCATAATCGTCGTATGTATCATACTAAAAAATGTGTAAATATTAATTTTTCTTAACCTAACCATTCATTCCATATTGTTATTTTAATCTAACATCTAACACAATACAATATTATTTCCTATTGAACATTTACCTCATTATAATCCTCGTACATGGTGGTTAATTTAATTGAATTCACGTAGAAAAAGTCAGCGTAACTTGTATCTTGAATAAAATTCAAACTAACCAAAAAACTCTGCGAACTCCTTTCACCTTAACAAAATGGTATACCATGGTATAGATACGATCAGGAAATCAGGAAATATCATAAGGCAGAATTCACTTTTACAAGAAAAATATTTAACAATAGTATTGAACCGCTAGATGGAGCGTAATCGAAAACGAACAATTCAATCGTGTTTCTCTTTATCTCATAGTTCATGATAAATATCATTAAATATATATATATCAACGCGTAACTGTGTACGTGTTGTTTGTAAATGTAAATTTGTTTTACATGTCCTAAATATAAAATGGGTATATTAGAAAAGATATCTGAAATTGAAAAAGAAATTGCTCGAACACAAAAGAATAAAGGTTTGTCGTTTTAAGTTTATCATTTTTTCTAACCTAACTTTCAAGTAGTTTTACGTTCATACATAGTTTCATCAAGATATACAAAGAATTTTCATACAAAGATTGATTATTTAATTCATTATATGTGTTTATTTTTAGCGACGGAATATCATTTGGGACTGTTAAAAGCAAAACTTGCAAAATACAGATCACAACTTTTAGAACCACCTAAAAAATCTGAAAAAGGAGAAGGTTTTGATGTTTTAAAATCAGGAGATGCAAGGGTAGCATTGATAGGTTTTCCTTCTGTAGGAAAATCTACTTTATTAAGTACATTAACACATACAGAATCTGAAGCAGCATCGTATGAATTTACCACGTTAACTTGCATTCCTGGTGTTATTGAATATAAAGGAGCTAACATTCAGCTTCTCGATCTTCCTGGTATAATTGAAGGTGCTGCACAGGTAACTATAAGTTTGTGATAATAAATGTATCAAATGTCTATTTGTTATATATAAATATTTCAGGGTAAAGGAAGAGGAAGACAAGTTATAGCTGTTGCAAGAACAGCAGATTTAGTTCTTATGATGTTAGATGCTACTAAACAAGATGTACAAAGACAACTTTTAGAAAAGGAATTAGAGTCAGTTGGTATAAGACTTAATAAAAGGAAGCCAAACATATATTTTAAAGTTAAAAAAGGAGGTGGCTTGGCTTTCAATTCCACGTGTCCATTGACAAAAGTAGATGAAAAATTAGTTCAAATGATTCTACACGAATATAAAATTTTTAATGCTGAAGTTTTGTTTCGTGAAGATTGCAGTGCGGATGAATTGATCGATGTAATTAATGCCAATAGAGTTTATTTACCATGTCTATATGTTCACAATAAAATAGATCAAATATCGATAGAAGAGGTGGACAGAATTGCTAGGCAACCTAACAGTGTAGTAGTTAGGTAAAATTTTTCTGTGTATCTTTTGTCGATAACAGTTGATGAGTAATTGTTCAAAATATTTCTATAAAAATTGTTTACATATTTAAAATAAAAATTATATAATAATTGTCAAATGATTCATACTATCTTTCTTACAGTTGTAATATGAAATTAAATTTGGACTTTCTGCTTGAAACGTTATGGGAATACTTATCGTTAATAAGAGTTTATACAAAGAAACCTGGTCAACCACCAGATTTTGACGATGGTTTAATATTACGGAAAGGTGTTACCGTGGAACATGTATGTCATGCAATTCATCGCACACTTGCTCAACAATTTAAATATGCTCTCGTATGGGTAAGAATTATGTTTAATATGCGAAATAACAGATAAATTTTAGTTTCAAAACCATTAGAGATATAAAATATTCATTAATTAATAAATACTTAAAAGTGTAGAGTTTCATTTAAAAAAAGGGTATAAATATTTTCTTCAATTGCTTTAAAGGCTGTCAAATACTTTCAGTGAATTCAAATTATCATGAAATAATTTCACTTTTTTTTTACAATTATACAATTATTTACATGAGATTATGTATAATATATTATGACAGTCTTCAGACTTTAGAATTCGCGAATCTTCAAATTTTATTAATTATATTATTTTCAAACTTTGAATTTTGAAATTTTCGAATCTTGGAATTTTTTAGTTTTTTTTATATTATTTTATTTATTTATGTTTTAATTTATTTTCTATAATTTTTAAAAATAAATTAAAATATTGAATAACATTTAAAATGTGTTATTTCTTTTTTTTCAGGGTACAAGTACCAAGTATTCACCTCAACGGGTAGGATTACAGCATATTATGCACGATGAAGACGTTATTCAAGTAGTTAAAAAATAAAATTTATAAAATTATATGAATTATTACATGAATTCTATGATAGCATAGCAGTGCTTTATATATTTTTCATTTATATACATTAATTAAGCAGAAATTTAAATTAAATCTGGAATTTATTTTATTTAATTTAAATATGAAAATTCAAACCACATATTTTAGAATAGTTTGAAAAAATCATTGTTTAAATAAAATTTTTAATACATTTACATCATACAAAATTAATCTTAAGGGGGTAGACACGGGTAATGCAGCAAGGTGACATTACAGGCAAAAATGGGCCTATTAAGGGGAGTACGGGAATCGGTTATTTGTCCTTATATGAGAAGACTTGGGGCTGGGTGAGGACTCATTCGAAAGAGGAAGGTCCAATGCAGGGTGATCAACTTGTGGTTCAACGAGATTGTGTCAATATTTAATAATATTAGTGTACAAAGTAGAGGAAAAAATCGACAAAATGCAGTCGCGGAATCGAAGCATTTTTAGGCCACTAAAAGAGTTTTGTGAGTTAAACGGTGAGTTGATCGCCCTGCATTGAACCTTCCTCTTTCGAATGAGCCCTTATTCAGCTCAAGATCTTCTCATATAAGGACGAATAACCGATTCCCGTGATTGCATTCCCACAGACGAGTTCCGCCATTATCTGGATAATACAGAGCAAGTCACGTGACAAATTTAGTTCAGCTAGTAGTTATAAGGTGGCGTCTAAGTAGAAAGGCTGCCGATTTGGAATCGTAGTCAGTGATGCCAGAACCGTGGGACGTGGGACAAATTTTTACCCTCTCCACGACGTCTCAGTGACTCCCTTACTTCAGTTGTTTCATCTAACACAAGCGTGTTGTCCCACGTGTCCGTGTAAGCTCTGCGGGTTCGGCTGCTCTCGTCATTTCTACGTTATCGGCTCGATGCTCAAGCCGCCAAAGCACGTGACAGCAGCATCGACGAATCGATAAAATAATATAATTTCGTCCATGGCACTATGGTAGAAGTGAGAAACCAGGAGATTCAGTTCGAATCCCGATTCTACGGTTTCAGTTCCGATTCTTAATGCATTAACATTTTTTTAATACATAAAAATACATTTTTAATACATTAATACTATGAAATACATTAACTTGGGAAGCAGTTAAAAAGAGGAGTTGAACTGCTTCCTTTATTGATATTTTTTAAAATATGTAAGTTTTATATACAGGGGTCGCAGCAGGGGTCAAGTAGGCGATGACAGAAATGGGATGTCGACTTCTACATTCTATTGTGGCGGCACTTCCTTTGGGTAGCGTAACGAGAGGATCACCCTGTAACTTATCTGTCTAAAAAAATTTTAATAAATCTGGCAACGGATTTATTTTCGGACTGCTTTTCTTAAGTAATCAGAAGTAGTTGTTCTATGCGGATTCTAAATCACTGGCGTCAGCATTTTTTTTGCTGAGTCAGCAGTAATTTGACACCATCAGCAGAAATATGATACCCCCCTCCCCGCCCCCTCTCCCCACCCCATGACCTTGAACTGAAATTTGACACCACCGTCAGCAGAAATATGATACGTCCTCGACAACCCCCATCCCATAACCACCCCTCCCCCCACCCCATGACCGCCCCCTTAGACCCACCCCTCCACCCCACCCCTTCACCCCACCCCATGACCTTGAACTAAAATTAGACGCCACCGTCAGCAGAAATATGATACGTCCTGACCTTGAACTGAAATTTGACACCCCACCCCATGACAACCCCCCCACCCCATGACCTTGAATTGAAATTTGACACCACCGTCGGCAGAAATATAACACCTTACCCCCAACCCCCATGACCTTGAACTATTTTTGTCTTATCGGAAGACGGCACAAGGCCCCAAGTGGAAATGAGATTTTTTGTTGGCGCAGCAAATCTGACGCTGCAATTCGCGACTATAGAAGGTAGAGGTTTTGCTCATGACCTTGAACGAATTTTTCTACGTCTTGGAAATGCGGTTTTTGTTGACGCTGCAGAGTGAACAGCAATTAAACACTTTCGTCAATGACAGCCCCACTTTAATAAAATGGGAGAAAATTGGCAATGTGCGTCATATGTAGTTTCACAATTAGAAGTGCAAGGATACTTAACGCGTTTGTGGAAAAGAGAAATGGAGGCCACGTTACTGCAGGAACTCGAACGCATTACCGAATTATTGGCGCAGCGGGCGATAAACATCAATACTGAAGATGAGCGTTGCGATTGCTTGATGCGATGTGATCAGTGCATCGAATTGATAGACGAACGATTACAAATGGGAGACGATTTATCAGTCGAAGCATGGCGAGACATAGAAGCATACAAAGAAAGAATCGACGCCTTGCGTAGAATATTGTATTGTGACAATGATCATCCTAGTGGTCAAAAGGCAATATTACTAAACGAACTTGCTTGTATAGAACAACTTTTGACACAACGTATTGCAGCCATAAGTAGTAACGACGACCGAAACGCATGTCTGGTGCAATGCAATCAATGCATTGATTTAATGATAGAGCGATTGCAACTGGAAAAGGACTTATCAACTGGTTTGAAAAATAGTTTAACAGCCAGGATAGCGAGATTTAAATCGTTAAGAGCAGAGTTACACGGATCTGTAAAAATAGGCGAAGGTCAAAGGAGAACAGATGCTGAATCACATGCATCATCATCATCTCTTATCTGGGAGGATGTAGAATCAGCTTTCCTTAACCGGATAACTACAGGAATTATAATCAACACCGAGCATATTGAACCACGAAACTTTTTGGAAGATGCTAGAAAAATAGTATTCCAACGTCTAGCGGAAGTTTTCCAAAATCATTCACGCATAAAAGTGAATACGGTGTTGTATGGGGAGTTTATCGCTAATAATAATACTGATGTGAAAAGTTTCAGTGCGAGAAATAAACAATTATTTTCTACATCAAACTTGAACGATTGGTATGACAAATACGTTGTGAACTCAACTTTAACACTGATGGAAGAATTTCAGGAACGGGACAGTGGTTGGGCAATATCGAAAATTCTGCATTTGATGTTAAATATCAATAAATGCAATCCGATGCATGTTGGTTGTTACACCGACATACCAAAAACAATCATGGACAAAAGAGCGGTAGTAAATGTGACAGTTGACGATGATACGTGTTTTGTCAGATCGATAGTTGCAGCATTATATCCCGCCCATGTGAATGCAAATCGACCATCATCGTATCCCAACTATGACACCGTTTTAAATTTGGAGGGCATCGCATTTCCAATAACGCTTAATCAAATACCAAAATTTGAGCGCCAAAACGATGTTTCGATAAACGTTTATTTCTGGGACATGAATGTGAAAAGGTGTGCTCCGCTCCAACTTACTACTATCAAAAGATTTCGTCACGTTAACCTGCTGATGCTTGAAACGCCCAACCGTAATGTGCGCCACTTTGCATGGATTAAAAATCTTTCCCGGCTTGTTTCAAACCAGCTCAGTGCACATAAGAGTAAAACTTATATTTGTGACAGGTTTGTATCACGCCATTACCATCTATTTTAGTGTATGCGTTTGTTCTTTTTGTACTAATGCAGTTACTTTGTTTATATGCAGATGCCTTCACTACTTTTATGCAGAAGAAAAGTTATTGAAACATACGAAGGACTGCATGAAGATGAACGATTGCGCAATCATTCTACCATCGAGTGAAGATAAAATAATAAAGTTTGATAATTTTTGTCACCGAGAACGTCATCCATTCATCGTGTACGCCGATTTCGAATGCATGCTTAAGAAGATTAACAGTAACATCAATCAAGGACACTGCAATGCATACCAGCAGCACGAAGCATACAGTGTGGGATATTATTTTCACTGTTCGTACAACGCATTGGTGTGTGAGTATCGCGCGTATCGGGGTCCTGACTATGCTGAATGGTTCGTGAATGAACTTGAGAACCTTGTAAGAAAAATTGCACCATTATTTAATACGATTGTGCCCATGACAAATTTGACGGGTGATGAAAGAAAAAATTATATGAATGCAACGCATTGTTATATTTGCGAAAAACCGTTCGACATCGACGAAACAAAAGTTCGAGATCATTGCCATTTCACTGGTCGTTACCGAGGACCTGCTCATCAGGGATGTAATTTAAATTATAAAAATAAACGTTTTATACCAATAGTGTTTCATAACTTATCGGGATACGATGCCCATTTTGTAATAAAAGAATTGGTAACGATTATCGTAGGCTCGACATCAGTCTTGCCAATTACAAAAGAAAAATATATTTCATTTTCAACGAATTTAAAACGTCACAAAATTTCGCTTCGATTTATAGATTCATTCAAATTTTTAAATTCTAGTTTAGATAAATTGAGTTCGTATTTAGGGAAAGACGATATGACGATTTTACGGTCACAATTTAATTTTTTGAACGAGATAAGATTCGATTTGCTTACACGAAAAGGCATCTTTCCATACGATTATGTTACCGACTACATGAAACTGAACGAGACGACATTGCCGACATGCGACAAATTTTATAATCAACTAAGCGACTGTGCCGTTTCACAGCAGGATTATGACCACGCGATAAAAGTCTGGTACAGTTTTAATATAAAAACACTTGGCGAATATAGCGATTTATATCTAAAAACAGACGTTTTATTATTGGCCGACATTTTTGAAAATTTTCGTAGCAGCTGTTGGAGAAGTTACAAATTGGATCCTGCATATTACTATACTTTACCTGGTTTTACGTGGGATGCAATGCTGAAGCACACGCGTATCGAATTAGAATTATTGACAGATATCGATATGCTACTTTTCATAGAGCGCGGCATACGCGGCGGTTTAAGTCAATGTTCTAATCGATACGCAAAGGCCAATAATAAATACATGGATTCGTACAATTCCGAAGAATCATCGCGATATTTAGTATATTTCGACGTTAATAATTTGTATGGATGGGCAATGTCGCAGTATCTACCTTACGGCGAGTTTAAGTGGTTAGACGATAATGAAACTAAAAGTTTTAACATTCATGCAATATCCGAAAATTCGAAC